ATGACTTTCGTGTCTCGAAACTGCTTAAATAACGTTTTCGTGCACTAAAGTAACGACGGGCGTTGTTCTCGTTGCGTATACTTTGCCGTAGCTATAGTATCGATGAAAATGCTATGAAAAATTTCTAACCACCTGTTCTCGGATATTTCTATAATAAATATATGGCGTGTCGCCCAGCAGTGATGGCCGCCAGTCGGAAGTGATTGCCGTGGTCAGTGTCGAAGCGTTAGCGCAGCAGAACCCTGCAGCCAGGCTTGTGACAAGCGTATATTCAAGAACCAGTTCTGGTTCCTAATTGCGCGACCGCCCAATATGACTTTTCTAAACCGGGGCAAGTGTTTAACCATGCTTGGCTGTCACAGCTGTTGACAGTCGTAATAGTTGATACACTATCTCATGGATATGACAACCATGACTCCATTCGAAAAAGTATGACCTACTTACGGGCTCTGTTTACATTTTTCTCATAACAATTAACGCACGCAGCATAGAATTGCATAATTCTTTGATCCATAATAACACAAGGGTTACCATGAACCTATGAAGTCATAGCCTAACGGTGTTCCACCTGTTTCCTTGTACACCAGGGTTGTGGACTGTTGGCATTGTAACAGACGGCTGCATCAGTCAACAATACGTACCTTATCATGATAACATCAACAAGGTCGTTTTTAAACATCCGTATCAGTAAAGTTCAGCAATTGACAACAAGGAAAAATGTGCGATCCGATCAAATGTTAAGACACACTGTGAGCAGCACTTTCCTCGTACCTTTACCATAAAAACCCAAAACGAGAACGGGACAATCTACATCCTTGTCGGAGTGTGTTAAAACACATTCACAGTGACACCCCAGAATGAACAGGTTCTTGTCATTGATATATAATGTAACAAAGAATGAATCTGTCGGTTTGTTTGTTTTCAAAGGATGCATGCGCATGACAATATACCAGTATTAAGAGCATTCAATTCCAGGACATGCAACGGGTTGTTTGCATCCAAGTATTCAATTGCATTATATAAAATTTGATAATTTTAATTACATTTATAAGTATCTAAAATCTGTCAACATTCCTTCAGGTGTCACATCATCTTGGCCACAAGTATTCCCGTGAAGCGCTGTCGATGATGATAAAACTGCAATTAAACATGTATGACATATGGCAGCCAGGAATACGCCAGTGAGGATATGATAAGAAACCACAGTCCGTTTCCTGAAACTTGTGCTCTCCGTTTTAGTACAACCCCACGTATTATTTCATCAGAACTGTCATACATATTTAGCAACCAAACAACAAGTGGATACGCCACAGATGTTACAGGTCTTACCAATCCACAAGTACACGCACATATTGCAACTGAAGGAATGTCACACTCACGTTGTCGTATTTGCGTCGTCATTCTCAAGACGTCACAGTCATATCATAACACCTACGTGACCGCATTCACGCCGTTACACTTAATACTTCATACACACGTCGTTACACTAACTACGTCATACAGACGTTGTTAAACTAACTACGTCATACACACGTTGTTACACTAACTACGTCATACAGACGTTGTTACACTAACTACGTCATACACGCGTTGTTACACTAACAACGTCATACAGACGTTGTTAAACTAACTTCGTCATACACACGTTGTTATACTAACTACGTCATACGTTCTTACACTAACTACGTCATACAGACGTTGTTACACTAACTACGTCATACACGCGTTGTTAAACTAACTACGTCATACAGACGTTGTTAAACTAACTACGTCATACAGACGTTGTTAAACTACGTCATACAGGCGTTGTTATACTAACTACGTCATAGAGACGTTGTTAAACTAACTACGTCATACAGACGTTGTTAAACTAACTACGTCATACAGACGTTGTTAAACTAACTACGTCATACACACGTTGTTACACTAACTACGTCATACAGACGTTGTTAAACTAACTACGTCATACACACGTTGTTACACTAACTACGTCATACAGACGTTGTTACACTAACTACGTCATACAGACGTTGTTACACTAACTACGTTATAGACACGTTGTTAAACTAACTACGTTATAGAGACGTTGTTAAACTAACTACGTTATAGACACGTTGTTACACTAACTACGTCATACAGACGTTGTTAAACTAACTACGTCGTACAGACGTTGTTACACTAACTACGTCATACAGACGTTGTTAAACCAACTACGTCGTACAGACGTTGTTAAACTAACTACGTCATACAGACGTAGTTAAACTAACTACGTCATGCACACGTCACACGTTGTTACACTAACTACACGTCATACACACGTTGTTAAACTTACTACGTCATTCAGACTTTGTTACACTAACTACGTCATACAGACGTTGTTACACTAACTACGTCATACAGATGTTGTTACACTAACTACGTCATACAGACGTAGTTAAACTAACTACGTCATACACACGTTGTTACACTAACCACGTCATACACACGTTGTTAAACTAACTACGCCATACACACGTTGTTACACTAACTACGTCATACAGACGTTGTTACACTAACTAGGTCATACACACGTGGTTACACTAACTACGTCATACACACGTCGTCACACTAACTACGTCATACAGACTTTGTTATACTAACTACGTCATACACTCGTTGTTAAACTAACTACGTCATACAGACGTTGTTAAACTAACTACGTCATACAGACGTTGTTAAACTAACTACGTCATACACACGTTGTTACACTAACCACGTCATACAGACGTTGTTACACTAACTACGTCATACAGACGTTGTTACACTAACTACGTCATACACACGTTGTTACACTAACTACGTTAAACTAGCTACGTCACACGTTGTTAAACTATGCTACGTCCATACACGTCGTTGCACCATCTCACACACGTCCTTACACTCACAATGTTATACACACGTTGTTACACTATGTCATACACACGTCCTTACACTGACTGCGTCATACACACGTCCTTACATTATGTCATACACACGTTGTTACACAGTGTCATACACACGTCCTTACATTATGTCATACACACGCTGTTACACAGTGTCATACACACATCCTTACATTATGTCATACACACGTTCTTACTCTGTTATACACACATTGTTGCACCATGTCACACACACGTCCTTACACTAACTATGTCATACACACGTCCTTACATTATGTCACACACACGTTGTTACACAGTGTCATACACACGTTGTTGAACCATTTCACGCACACGTCCTTTCGCTAACAATGTCATACACACGTCCTTACACTAACCGCAGTCTACGCACGTCCTTACACTAACTGTGTCATAAACACGTCCTTACGCGTACGCTACACTTACATGTCACATTATTATAATCAAGCTTTTGACCCGTGTTTGGGAACTTGATTATACCCTTAATAAGAAGAAGAGGAACGATTACAGTCAAGCAGTTTACTGTCAGTGGTGTTGTGTACTGACCAGTGAAGATGCTTGGCTTTTATAGTAATCGCCCTCCTATGTTTTGACTTTGAGTGATACCTTACTGAATGAATTGTACATTGTCTTGAATGTTAATCGTGACCGATGATACGTCGCTGCTGTATTGTTACGTAACTATATCCTGTACGGCGATGCAACTGCGGCCGCCATACAATAGAACGTCAGCGTGCGCGATGGCGTTGATGGATGTGTCCATCTTACGTCACTATAGCCTGCTATGTAGCTGTCAGTGTTCAATCTGCCACATACACATCTACTGTTAGATTTGCTTGTAGATATATTCTAATAGAAATGTTAGGAATACTTCGATTCCATTTAGGTTTAGTTAATAATTATATCAGAGAACCTCAGATATTTATAGGCAATAATGGAAGTATAATGAGTGTATTTTACACTGGTATACTATGTCATGCACACGCCGTTACACAATGTCACACTGTGGCATACACTCATGTAGTCTCACACACTCACTCACTCTCTCCCCCCACGCACACACACACACATGCACGCCTACACACATTGACATACATCCGACCCTGGACACTTTCGGGTATCCAACTACGAAAAATACCCATGTACGAGATAAAACATTCGCAGACCATTAGTCACTTACACTGACATCATTCCGCATTTGTAGCATAGGGACACTAGGAATTTGCTTTAGTTACACATCAGATACACAATTCATACACGTTTAACCTTACTAAACACATTCCACCGTGATCATGTTTCGTGGACTGTTATATCCAAGCTGTTGCCAAATCGATAATCTTCGAAATATTCATACCTCCAAAAAATATCACCTGACTGCACGTTTGGACCAGCTTAGGTTTTTGGCGTGACTACGCTGTACATGTTGTATTATCCTCAACTTTCCCGGCCTGCAATCCGATTTAACAATGGTCGATTTGGTAAGTAGGCCACCTTGTGTTGCGTTTATGCTGTCATAACCGGGCAATGTATTTATAATGTTTCATATCCTACATCGGTAACTTGTAATCGTTAAAACTCGGACATATTGCCATGCCCTATTATAAAAATCGCGTCTTCTTATGTTCAACTTCTTGACGATCAGTTTAATAAGACGTTGTATTTGTTCTGCATGATCATGCGTGGGAAGGTTATATTGGCTTATCCAGTCATTTCGTGTGTTTATCGCACACGTTCAGAGGAATGTTTGTTTAAACACCCTGTGAGATCAAGAAAATGTTTGCGTTTCTTTGAGGGACTTAACTGGCCCATTAGGACGACGTGGCAATACATGTTGCGCAGAGTAAGGTCCCTTGGTTGTTTGTAAATCCCCTTGGGCCCTTTTTAAGGGGAGGTTTTCTTAGCATCCTGTGTTTAACACAAGTGGATACCATCTACAGTCTTAGAGGCCCGAGGTTTGGGCAGGCCACGATATATCTGATATGCTGTTTAAGTTATGATTATATCCATTCACTGAATCATATCAGTTAAACGCGTTTCCGAACTGCTGTGCGTGCACCCGAACACAACATTGTTAACTGACAGCCGGTCGAAGTGCGTGAAACAAAACACAGGCTTGGGACAATAATGTGACTGCAACAGCGAGCATACATGGACTTGTGTTAATATGGGAAATACTTCCACAAGGATAAAAGGATATCGTGTCTCCACGAGACTAGGAGGTGGGTGTTTTGGTGTTGTTTATAAAATGAAAAGCAAGACCGACGCCAAGGTATACGCACTTAAAGAAATTTACAGAGGCAAAAGTCCCAACGGATTGGACTCGCTACACAGGGAGGTTAACATCCACGAGCAGCTACCATACCACAGAAACATCGTGAGATTCATTGAATGCTTCAAACAAGAGTTCAAGCTCTATATCGTGTTGGAGTTTTGTTCTCTTGGAACGCTGAACGACTATATCATTACGAACGATGTGTCTGATAAGACACTCCTGTATATTATGTTTGACATAGCAAGAGGCTTGCAACATATCCACAGACACAATATAGTTCACCGTGACATTAAACCAGATAACGTATTGCTATCAGCTGGCAAGTTTGGAATTCCAACGTGCAAGATCTGTGACTTCGGCTTGGCTAGATATTGTGATAAGGGTGGAGTAATAGGACAACAGTGTGACGACGACCCACCAGCATCGGATGACGGACCAATGATGTACATGGCTCCAGAAGTCACCTGTGGATTTTATACTTTAGCTTGTGATGTATTCTCACTGGGCATGTTGTATTTCGTAATGTACTCGCGTCACGTGACTGAGTTTAAAGGTCGGAAAGTCCTCGAACCTCACGCTCACGGATATCCTATGTTTACAGCCCCAGACAGCGTTGTTGAAACTGAGATCGACCGATATGTGCGAGGTCAGCTTAACCGGGATATGATTATTTCAATGTTGAAGAAGACGCCAAGCGATCGGTGCACTATTACCGCTGTGCTGGAGACGCTGTATGCGATATTTGCATGTGCTATTTCGGCTGACAAAGACGCTAACACCACGTGCCGTGTTTCAAATGGACATATTGAGTAGGCCTTTATCCCAACAGCTGTGTCGCGTATTATACGTACATAATGTGAAATACAAACGCATCGTTACGCAAGGTTTTACGATCGAAGTATTTAAAGATCGTTCACTTATGTATCCTTATGTTCAAGTGGAATGGGACTTCTGTGAGCATATGAATGCATATATGTTACATAACTGCGGTGTATTTGTCATGAATGTAAGTACATGCCATATGGCCAGTGTGGAGAATATGGTTATATAGATTTGTCTTATGGCTTATGAATGGGTTTATGGTTGAATGCCACATAGCTGGAATATTGCTGAGTGCGGCGTAAAACTAGACTCACTCACTTATGGGTGAATGTGTTTCACGCTCTTATGATATTGTTTACCGGTTGCAATATCTCCTTGAACTAAAGTGTGAGCTTTTGTGAATGTTGTCTCAACGTGTCATTTGTTTCCCATGAAATAACATACATAGTGTGTCTGTTTTTGTACAGTAATACAGTCATAAACTGAACGTCAAGAGTGAGTGAGTTATTATTTAACGTCACATCGGCAATATTGCAGCCATATCGTGACGAGAACATATTTGATTTTGAAGTGGAATATATGTATTTTATAGCACTATTGGGACAATACAATATAAAAACAGGCTAGCAGGCTAGAGATCGCCAACAACAGAAGGTAGATCACCATACTAGGGACCATGGGGACTTACAGTACCTTTGCTACCTGCATGGACCCTAGCTGGATTTACAACATCCCTTCAGCAGCTGGCGATTGTAGGAAAATTTAGCCGGAAGTTAAAAGAACAAAAATACTACGATTAAAATGTGGTAAATTTACATCTTACTTTGAAAGTTTTGGGACTTACGTACCCTCTCAGGAGGACAATAATTTTACAGTACTTTAACCCCTTTGAGGGTACAGCCACTAACAATCTAAGTTACTCATCTAAACTACCAATATTAAAATACATATCTATTTGCAAACTATTCATCAAAATTTATCTGGAATTCTATTTCTTTTAAAAATTCAATGATTAAATGATAATTAACACTAAAAAGATCCTTCACTGTTTTGACATTAAAATATTTATCCCTTGTGATGGCAAAATCTGAACGTCAAGAGAAAATTTACCATAGTTTACCACGATGAAATCAGCATATAAATAGACAGTCATACAGCAACCTATATTGTCCTGACATTTGCCCGTGCAGTAGCAAGAACAATGGACAATGGATTTACACATCTGAAATCGCTCTACTTCAATGACACGTCACATTAATAGCGTTTATGACTACAAGACATCCAAATCTCTCCGGCGCTCAGAGAAAGTCATCATGTGGCCGTTCGGTCTTCCCTTCGGCAGTAAGCACTATGTCTTCCATCAGCTCTAAACTTGCAGACCGCCTCCGTGGTGTAGTGGTTAGAGCGTCCGCCCGGAGAGCGAAAGGTCGCGGGTTCGATCCCCGACCGCGTCATACCAAAAGACGTTTAAATATGGTACTTGTTGGTCCCTGCCTGGCGCTCGCCATTAATGGGTACAACAAGGACTGGTCGGCTCGGAGTCAGTATAATGTGTCGATGGGGCATTCATGCTTCACTGCGGCATGGTATCTCAGTGGGCTAGCACTATAAAGTCTGGGCTAGTACAAGCAGCCGCACATACGCATACACACGCATTCACGTCGTCATATGAGCGAAATATTCTCAAGCACGACGTTAAACCCAATTTCACCTCACCTCACCTAAACTTGCAGACCCGGACTTGATAAGTGAACACGTTCTTCTGCCAGTTGCGTCGCTGCCAACGAGGTACAGTACGAGGGCCCCATCTCTATCTCTGACGACGATGTAGCGCTGTGAATAGGTCTGGATGTCTGTATCTTACCATTTTCAAACTAGGATTATTAGCTGGTCGGTGGTTGCAATTTCAGTGTGTGTGTCCGTATCATCTGTATACAAGCACGGGTTGCATTATTGGACACATCCCTTCTAACCCCGAACCCCCAAAGAGATATGCATGCATCCATAGTACCATGCGCCGATGAGTTTGGTTCCAAATGAATTTGACCACCTCCGTGGTGTAGTGGTTAGAGCGTCCGCCCGGAGAGCAGTAGGTCGCGGGTTCGATCCCCGACCGCGTCATACCAAAAGACGTTAAACTATGGTACTTGTTGGCCCCTGCCTAGCGCTCGGCATTAATGGGTACATCAAGGACTGGTCGGCTCGGAGTCAGTATAATGTGTCTGAGTGGGGTATTCATGTTTCACTGCGGCATGGTATCACAGTGGGCTAGCACTATAACACCAGCTTAAGTCTGGGCTAGTACAAGCAGCCTCACATACACATACATACGCATGCACGTCGTCATATGAGCGAAATATTCTCAAGCACGACGTTAAACCCAATTCCACCACCACCACCACCACCAAATGAATTTAAATGGATGTTCTCAATCATATACAGTTCATGGCTTTCCATCTTTCCTGGGAGTCCGCATACTGTATCAACTACATTATATTAAACCGTTATAATCAGTTTATTAGTTTCTCACATTTATTTTCAGGGGTATTAAATTAATCGAATTATGGTCATGGTATGGTCATCTGTACGTGTACATGTATACAGGAATCATTTCTTTCTCTTCCCAAGTTAGTATCAACTTCAACAACATCGATATGCAGCCAACACAAGAAGTAGTTCATATCATGCAACAATACTTATCCACATTACTTCGGCTATAACACGTTTTGTAACTTGTACGACTTGTGTACACCTAATCAATACACGACGTGTGAACATTTATAACATGAGAAGAAACATATTGCACACATCTGAAGAAGAAAAAGCTTATCTATTTGACACAAAAATATCTTCAGTGATAGAGCGTTGCTCAACTGATACGGCATCTGTACTGTATACACTGTGTTAATTTTCAACGTGGATATAAATAATACAGAATATTTCTGTGGCAGCTGTGATTGATTTTATGGACGACTTTAGTGTAAATTTGCATTTCGTAGATGAGTAACCTCCCTTACAACGTCACCAGTAAATGCACTACACTAACTATATCTAATCTTGCAATTTTAAAAACATGAGCTGTACTAATATAACCGCCTTTCAGATTTAATTTTAAATCTGCGACAAAGTGCAGCCAGCAACAAATAATCAAGTCAATACTAGCTGCATAATAGCAGTCTCGGTATTATTAAGACAACGATGAACCAAACCCACTCCATCTCGTGATAATATCTGTTTGCTTGAAGCTGGTCCAAAACGGTTCGTGCAACGCTGTGTGATTATGGATGAACCCTGTCATCATCGCTTCCAGCCTGAGTCCAAGAAACAATACGCAGTTAATATTGTGTTTTGTAGAAATAAGTGTTCATATTATTACCTAAGAAACAGATATACTGATAAATCACAATGACCGGATTTTCCGTTGGGTTAAATTTTAGCATTTGCTCTTTTGTGTCTATATTGTATATATAAAGTCTAACTGTTGGAGTTCAACAATGTTAGTTGCCGAACATTCCATCAATGTTAACCAACTTGAATACATATTTTTCAGTACCAGAGGCATACATGCATAGTAAATATACGTATAAGGGCAGCACATACACACCTACATCAATGTATATTATCAAAAGTTATTTCGCTAAAATAAACATAGCACAATAATTAATAAATTCTATATAATTAATTACATTCACATATCTTTGTTGGAAAACAATACACAATACCCATGCTACATGTACCAGACACTGGTTTGCCTCGCCATGACATGATTGCTTTTAGATCGTCGAGACATATCGGGGGCAATCCCGAATGCCGCTGAACACAATTATCACCAACTCACGTAGTTCTTTATACTTAATTCATTTTTTTTCAGAGGAAACGTCAGAAGGGCAGAGTTGCTGAGTCTGAGCTTTGTCCTAACGCCACACTACATGTACCAAGTGACGAGACACTCAGAGAAGGAAGTGTCGACTACAATAATCGCCTTGAAACAGACCTCAGATGTCAAATGTCCTTCACAATCATTATGATAAAGCTATTGATATGCGATAATCAAACCAAGGGCGTACCCATGACGCGCAAAATGTATCTGGAAACCTTTCTTAGGGGATGTTCATTATAATATACTGTACAATTCCATGGACATTATTAAGTTTTAAGCTGTTTATCTGGGCGCTTGTGAATTGAGTGAGTGGGTGAGTTTTACGCGGCTTTTAGCAATATTCCAGCAACATCACGGCTGGGGTCACCAGAAATGGGCTCCATGCATTGCACGCATGTGGGGAATCGAATCCAGGTCTTCGGCGTGACGAGCGAACGCTTTAACCACTAGGCTACCCCACCGCCCTTGTGAATTGAACCATCCGGAAAGCAGGCATTTACTGAATACGAAGACAGAACAGCAATGAAGAATAATCATGGCTTGTTTGAGTCATAGTTTAGCCTTAAGCATTAAAACTATAACTGATGTATGAAAGTAAATAGTCTCACCTGTATGTAATGCAAAAAGTGTGAAATCTGCTCTCAAGTGAAGGATGTGACAATTCGTGTCGTCTCTGAAGAGGCCAGTGGGTCTCCGTGATTGTCATGAATGAGTGTAGATATTCAATTTCACTTTGTAGGAAATTGCCATGGACGGTAAGCTAATACACAGGAACAGTAAATTGTTTTTCCCTGATGCTTGACGCCCCTCATCAAACTGTGGGTAGAAATTATCAACTCCTTCAATACGATCACAGCTTAAAGGAGGTTGTTAGACTGCTATTAAGATTAGGTCTAACAACGAAATGAACAGCCTAGTATATTTATGTCTATTCTATATTCTCGTCATAACATACACGTAGAATTATTGTATTGAACTAAGGGGAACCACAACCAACGCTAAAGACTATTGTCAACAAGATTTAATCAGTCACACGGTGATATTTAGGATGTTATTATGGTGAACTAGGGTTTAAAGGCACTCTACAACGGGGGACTCTACTGAAGCAAATGCAGGGTAACAAACACATCCCTTTACGTAGCCAGGGTTTGAATCAACGACTATCTGCATTCCTGGAGCACGCGGCTGCCTTTTTACGACCAGACTTGTGTTTTTGCTTCTGCTTGCCAAGTGGCGACTGGGCAAGTACGTGAAAAAAGGTATTTCTGCCTATTCCTGATTCAAGCTTGTTACAAGTCATTCGGCCGACACGAATTCTGAACCTACGAGACTTCATTTATTCTAAGGACCGTTACATATTGCTGCTGTTTGCCCCCCCCCCCCCCCTTTCTGCAATGCCAAACGGTGTGTCAATATGAGCTATTGGTTATACATTGGTCGTGTGTGGATATTTACTGATTTCAAAATTTCGTTACGTTTGCATCGATTCCTGAGTGAACCTTTGAGCAACTTGGAGATGGCCTCGAACCATATCATCACCATATGACCATGCCATGCGTTTGAACATGCGTGTATTAAGGAATACTGAATATGGAGAATGGTATTGGTTGCCACACCAAATACCATTACTTTACAATAAATACCTACTGAATAGCTGACTGACTACTACATGTTCCACACAATGAGACCACGGCGATCAAGCTGCGCATAAAACTACACATAAACTTCGAGAAGGTTTTTTTTAATCCCAACTAGTTATACTGTGAGAAGGAATTGCATAATGTTCATATTATACAACCTGCAATAATGAAAAATCAATTACGTTTACAAGTGACAAGTTAGAGTCAGTATCAACACAGAATTGATTTCGAATGTCTACCATTGATCTAAGTATAAGAATAAACAAATGAACTGCGAGTGAAGGCACTGTGCTCCACGCATATTCCTCTTTTATGCACGAGGCGTGTACAGTAACTGATGGATAATGTTTAATTGGGGGATATATTGCAATACCAACATTTACTGCAAGATATTCGCGCCTATGTCTATGTTCACTGTTATGCAATACAATGTAGCAGGATCACACTGACTTCTGGAATTGGGAGGACATACCTCATGATCTCAACATCCTCATTATCACTACCAGATTAAAAGACACATTATGTCTTACTCATCAAAGATGACTAGTACCAGGATAGTCATATTGTTTATTTTACAGCGTTCATATTTCACACAAGGTAAGAAATTGTATATTGCGTTTTTTCGGAGTTTTGTTTTCATAGCTTAATAAAACCTTTTCCATTGATGGTTTAAATATTGGATATAATATATACACAATTGGATCATTATCTACCTTTCTAAAGGGAATTTCGGTGATAAAACACCCGATATAATATATACTGAAGCAATTATATAATATATACTGAAGCAAAAAATTCAAGCATCCCCATTATTGTTTGAGTGAAGTGCTCATGTATCTTTTCATGTGCAAACGCATTGGGTTCAAATCCAATTACCTACGAAGAAATCAACATGTACATACGGTGTTGCTTAACCTTTTACCATCAGTATATATCAAGACTCAAATTGTGGGGTAGGTGTGGAAGTGATCACGGTGCTTTAGAACTCACACTGACAGCCTTCTTCGTTTGAACAGTTGGGTAATTCTGAATTATATTTTATTTATGGTCTTTGGAAAATTATTCATTTATTTAGGTTATGCGTCTTATTAATACCACAACACAAGTAAAGTTACGAATATATACAATATTCCCACTTACTAGAAACAGACGGTGGGGTATCCTAGTGGAAATACGCGTTAGCTCGTCACGCCGAAGACCCGGACTATACCCCTTAAAAATTATGTTGACAATTCACTCAATATGAGTGTGTGACTCGGGCAATGGTCTTGGTGTCATTTAAAGGAATTTGTAGGTGCATTCCATTTACATTACTGCATAATACAAAATTTATTAAGTATTTGTTGAGTGCCTCTCTGCAATATGATATGTTCGACTTTGCGTAACCCAGCCATGCTGATATATCAAGGTTAGTAGTTAGTTAGTTAGTATTTGCTTTATTTAGCGTCGCACACACAACTAAGGTATTTCGGCAACGGGGTAGTACAACATGAACAGATTAACTACGGGCACACTCTACTCATCAATCTAATTAGAGCTGTACCATTATGGAGGTGGGTGTTGTCTTAATTAATACCCTACTCCACTGTCTAACAACTGTCTGTCTAACTAATATTTACAGTGCAGTTGGTCAGTCAATGCAATGGCTGATGTACCCTGCCAGCTTCAGCTTGAAAACTCACACTGATTATGCTTTGTATCTGGAAAATGTATCGGACCATTTCAATGTTGTAACCAGTGTTTAATTGTGTGAGAAGTACAATAAAATTATAGTAGTATCTTTAATCACTTGTTTTCTGTAGGGGTATAATCTGGGCTAGGGGGGTATACTATGGCCTAGTTCAGAATATACCCCGGGGTATAAACTAGGCTAGCCCAGATGATACCTGGGGTATAGTCTGGGCTAGCCCAGTTTATCCCCGGGTATAGTCTGGGACAGGGGTACACTCTGGCCTGTTACACCGGGTTCGATTCCCCACATGAGTACAATGTGTGAAGCCCATTTCTGGTGTCCCCCGCCGTGATGTTGCTGAAATATTGCTAAAAGCGGCGTAAAACCAAACTCACTCACTCACTCACTCACTCACTCAATTACTAGAAACAACGTTTAAATCTATGTATATGGTACAGTATATAATTGTAAATGTAGGGACGTTTGTGATAGAAGTCGGCATTGTCTAATCTGGTATTTCATATTGATTTCAGGAAACGTATGTCCAACGACATCTGGAGAAAAAGGTATGCATGCGTGGTATTCCAAATATACATAGGTTGAACATCATTTCAGTAATCAATATGGTTGACGAATACAGATCATAACAGTCATAGCATGACGGAAACAACTCTTACATAAGCATGTACACCTAAAGTCGATATGGCTACAGACACAAATTATAGTAATGCCTGAATTATGGTTACAATGCGTATTATGTTATAATCTGTAAGAAAGGCTGAGGTTATGATGTAATTTTAGTAATCCAACATGACGTCAGCAATAATAGGCTATGATGTATTCTATATTAGACAAACAGTGGTGCCAAGTTTGCGTCTTCACTTACAAATAAAATACTAAAACTAATTATATGCACGATCTTTTAGTGAAATAGGAAGAATTAATCTAAGATCAATAATGTATAAAGGTCATAAAATAAAGCCGTAAAAACATTGAACGTGTTGTTACTGCAAGAATAATGTACTACTTGATTTATGTTCCCTGAAAATACGTTAACCATCAGTAAACATTGTACTTCAGTTGTGCGTGCATGTGAGGGCAACTTTGCCAGTGGAGATTCCGTCTATCTGGACACTTCTAAGGCTGTTAACTATCAAGGCAACTGTGTATGTCAACTCAGGGCGCAGGGTGGCGCTGTTGACCTCCAGTTAACAGTGCACGGAGTCCATGCAGATTGTGACGCTACCTTGTATTTCCCCCCACCTATTGATTACAACTATAGGTGTTCAGTCAAGGCACCCTCAAATAATACAGGGCGGATTGGGTTAGGACAAGTGATTTTCCTTACCCTCATCAAAAGGTCTGAGGTGGCCGATTTCTGTGTCCATTTAGTGCAGACATCAACAAAAGGTGAGTTCACACATTTTAACTCAATCATGAATACTCTCGAATGTTTGGTTTTATGTGCTGAAATCTCTGTAGCAATCTGGTGGGCCTGTAAATGTTTTATCCTAGAAACTATAGAACAAAACTAGACGGATACTTCGACGACTTACAAGTCGAAACAACCCGTTAGACCCCCAAACGTTTTCGTTGTCGACACAGAAGCATGCACAAATGACGATACCGTTACAGTATATTTGACCCGTGAACTGTAAGTATGGACAATTGCTATTAAGAGTATTCCCAAACATGTCATTTATCATGTATAGTGCCTACCACCAGCTTTTTCTGATCAGCTCAACAATTGTCAAGTTGAATTTCAATTGGAGATGAACAATGTCGGATTATCTGAAGAAATTATGACTGAACAAAACGTTTTCACCTTCTTTTATTGGGAATGTGTTGCTTCGAAATAAAGTGTGTTAATGTGCCTAAATAGTAATTCGGTCTGAAAGAGCTTTGTGGTTCTTTGTATAATGACATTCTCTGTGAGATGGCAAAGGTTTTACTTGGCCTGGGACACATAAAGATCCGGATTGAAATAAGATGCAATGCTTGTCGAAGGTGGCGGGTTGTCACACACGATAGGTGGTTGATGCACGCCACTGTATTGAGATTGCCCTGGTCGATGCTCATGATGTCAATCACTGGATTATCTGGTCCAGATTCGATGACTTCCTATGATTTCATATAGCTGGAATATTGCTGAATGCGGCAAACAAACAAAGTCACAAAAATGCTTGATATTTACACACAAGCAAACCATATTCTATCTATCATATTCTAGGCGAGACACGCCCATATGCTATCTACTAACAGATGTGTTCCTCATTTTAATTCGTCAATAATATGACAGACAGACAGTTTATTCAGTAATGAGGCCATCGGCCCATAATACGGACAATGTTTGATTGCATGATATAGGCATGTCAGTGAAGTAATTACGGTCCCCCCAGCCGTTGAGTTATATATTTACCATCAGCGTTATCAGATGAAGGAATTCCGATAAAAGATGTTGTGTGGGACTTGATATATTGTATAAGATACATATTTCTTAGGGCTGAGTATCGCTCACATACAAGCAATACATGAAATTCATATTAAACAAAAGATCTTCCCCTTTCTATACAAAGAAAAAACCTACCACATCTGAAACGAGTCATGCATAGTCTCAGGTGCACAGGGATAGGGAGTGTATAATAGAAGAAATCAGATAAACTGTTGACAGAACTATACCACCATTGTTGAAGGTTGTCAAATAATCTTTGTTTAAAAAGGTGAATAAATATCATCACATTTCCCTCATCTTGTGTTAACCACATATATCCAAATCTTAGTAATATGACAACCTTTGTAATACTTAACAATGGCGTACGTGTATTGAAACCAGTCGGACTAGGTTGCTCACGTCAGGATTTCTATTTGTGAACAATTAATGTTTGTGATCATTATGCAAGTCAACATGTCTTGGGCATTGCCTCCCGAAACATGTTACCATACCTTATGCTACCAAAGAAGTGAACATATGATGGTGATATATCATATATCTCCTGCTTTCCAGGATTCACTCTCAAACTATATGATAAGGTGGACATTGCTACCAAAGCCATAGAAGAACCAGCGAGATTAATCCGAATATTAATGATGATGCCTTTTAAGGTTTCTTTTACATACTTTTACTGCATCTTTTAGATGCATGGTGTTTGAAGCCTTGCGATTGTGTTTTCAGGGCCACTGAAAAAGCATGAAATCTTGCAACATATCGTAGGGATAGGTATCATAAGTATCTTAGATGGTTTGCTTAAACGGTTTTCAGGTTTTTATTGCTTTCGATAAGAGTCACCTGTCAGAAGAATGGTGCTCATCAATTATTGTTTTAGAAAGTGACACAACACTAACGTTCTGATTGGTTGAAGTGCCCAGAAGTAGCGCAGAGTTTGCACTTTCATGTGATAATCTATTGTAATAACAATGTTAGCTTCTCTGTTATTTCTGTGTATATATATATTTTAGGCGGATCACTCAATTTAGCCTGTTCCAAAGGCACAGTGAAATCATCCAGTCCTCTAACAACAACCTCCTCGCAACCCAACACCACTACTAATGTGGTTACCACTTCGGATACTTCTGTTACTGAGAGCAAAGATTTAACAGGAGGTAATTCAACAACTACAACCACAGAGCGCAAAGATCCATCCGGGGATAATTCAACCACTACAGCAACAGAGAGCAAGGATTCATCTGGGGATAATTCAACCACTACAGCAACAGAGAGAAGAGATCCATCGGGAGATAATTCAACGACCACATCAACAGAGAGCAAGGATCCATCCGGGGACAATTCAACGACCACATCAACAGAGAGCAATGATCCATCCGGGGACAATTCAACCACTACAGCAACAGCGAGCAAAGATTCATCCGGGGACAATTCAACCACTACAGCAACGGAGAGCAACGATGTAACTGGAAACAATTCAGCTACTACAGTCACATCCGGAGAAAACGCAGACATAACACCTGCTGAAGTAATAGGTCATAATAACGCAGCGCCTTCTCAGTCAAAAGTAACAGGTAAGAATCATCGTGTCATATATTCAAGAATGCTGTATAGGTATATTTAGAATGTCTGATATCATCATTTATACAAAATCCAAGAGGCAATAATCCAGATTTCTAAAGCGAATCTAATCGAACAGACCACGGTTAGTCTAGGTGTGGTAAATGGTATCTTTGAATGTATTATTGTTTCACAGTTTCGTGTTTATAGGCTGCAAAGAATTATATCGGAAATTTAGTAGGTAATTAGGTATAACTATTTCAACTAGCATTCTGTTCACGAATAGCATTATATCTATTTGGGTGCACGTGTTTATTAATAGTGTCTGTCCATAAGTTCCCTTGTACTTTGAAGAATGTCTCTGTAATTAGACATTGATACAGACTTATTTCAGAGGCAATGTCCGTTTGCAGAAACTGTTGTTACGAATGTTGTTATGAAAATGAAGGTCTTCTTCTGTTTTCCTAGAAATGTGTTCTATTTTCCATTTCAGTGAGCTTTGTCGTTGTTGGACTCGTTGCTGCAATCTCGGCATAGTGATACAGTTTGGAATATTTAGTTCCTGCAAGTAAGACTTTAAAAACGTGGCATATTTTAAGCTAAGTTATAGGCTATTCATGTCCGTATTTCTTCCACAAGAAGTCTAATCAAGATCGAAACATAAACATGGAGGAGTTTGCAAGATATAGGCATATTTAACACGACAAAACAGACGGATTATTCACGAAACAAGTGCATGCATTGCTGTAGTATGTAACACAATAATAGAACATGAACCGTAGTCATAGTAGAGCCATGACTTTGTAAGATTTATCAATTTGCATATACAAATAAAACGTAAGTCATACTAACAGTGTCTTTGTCAAAAGAGTCTTGGCAAAGAGCGATTCTATAGTACTAAGACAGCTTTTCTTTTTGTGTCCGTTAGGACGACCTTTAGCGCTATGTGTGCTAAAGGTGCTGTCAGGCCTCGATTTGGGGAATTAGCTATAGGGAGCAAGCCTTGAAACCTTGAAACAAGAAAGGAGCCAGAGCTATGAGATCCAGGGTTTATTCAAGCAAGTGTCTTGCATGACATTCAAAATACATCAGTTCATACATAATAATGACATACAATAATAGAAATAGTAATCAATGATATCCTAATACAGTTTATATCTTAGTCCGGTAATATAAGCAATGTGTGGTACATCAGGGTACGTACGGTAACTGCTTACAGAAACATGATACAAATAATACAACATTTTCTTGAGTAACTACGGTACTGATAAATAACATAACCTGACGGATAAATTAATCATCAACAACAATTGCAAAGAACAAATACTGAGTGGAGCGCCCAACAGTTTACTTACAGCATGTAGTGCCTAGTTCATTAACTGTTGTGCGGATTTGTGACTATTACGTTATGTCGCGCCTAATGCGTTAACTACGGTAGCGATTTATGACAATTACGGTATGTAGTGCCTATTGCGTTAACTACGGTAGGAATTTATGACTATTAGGGTATGTTGCGCTTAGTGTATTGACTACGGTAGGAATTTACTATTATTACGGTATGTCGCGCTTAATGCATTAGCTACGGTAACGATTTATGACTTGTATAAGTAATTTCCGTTATCAACAAACATGCCTTGAGCAAATACGGTAAACGGCGCGAAGTGCTCAGAATTGACATATACCATTTAACTCCGGTATTGACTGTATGCATTCTAACTGTAATGTTAACATATATTTTCTCAATACAATAATTTCGCTAGATACGGTAAGTGGAACTAGAGAGTGATATAAATATGTGTAACTACGGGGACAGACGATATAGTTTTAGCTAGAGTCCTACTTTGTCCCATCCTGAATTATTTGGGTGACTACGGTAAATGTATTTCAACGGCGATGTTGCTATTGGCAACGTGTAATATCGACATATACGGAGTTAAGCCATGACCTAGAATATATGTAATGCTGTAGTGCTACATTTTTGTGCTTTACAAAACAAGACAGTAACTTAGTTAAATGAATATGTAATAATGTACCAGGACGGCGCTGTTGTTATTGGCTACGCGAATTTCTTAAATTACGGAGCTAAACCAATACGGAACGAAGACTGTAATTGCAAACTACACGGATTTGAATGTATATTTTCTGGTAATATGAAGAGTAGACAATACCATTTTCTACTGATTACGGTAATGTGATTCGCGTATAAACTGTTCTGTACGGTATACAACTGCACGCGGAACGGAACGTTTAATACATCATTATTCAAATTCTTATAGTGTTGGTGAAATATCAAAACACAAATGTTGGCTGTTATACCTATCATGTGAGCGCGTATCTGAGGTAAATCTACACGAATATCATTTGATCGGCGGACTATAGTAAAATACATAAACTTCGTCTTTGCTGGAATTGATTGTATAAACTCTCGGAACTGTTTTTGTGACTAAGCTACTAGAATCTAGACTACTGAACGAGAATCTAACCTGCATATACAGAACTAACACGCAAATGAATAAAACAAGACAAAAGACTGGGAATACACTCATGTGTGTCGAAACATAGAAAAGAACTATTCGTTTGTACATGAAAAACATAAACTTGAGGAGCCCACGACGCAATGTGCATAAATAAATATCCCTGGGTAGTGCCTAATAATTAATCGGTTATCTAGAACTAGCATTTGCAATGACAAAGTGCTTCAATGTTGTAGGAATGTTTCTAACCTAACTCTAACATTTTCTAGACGATAATTACAAAGAAATAACAAGTTAAACAAGAATAAGTTTAAATGTTTCTTACCTTGAAACAAGAAAGGAGCCAGAGCTATGAGATCCAGGGTTTATTCAAGCAAGTGTGCCTGAGATGGAAGAACCCAGGATTTTATACCCCACAGCTCTGCTCGTTTGTCATTATCAAGTTTCTATAAAGTTGAAGTTTCCATATGCGTTATCTACCCTATGCTGACAAAGTATACTACACGAGGTGGGTGGTAAGAAGATGATTACCTAACAAGGTTTGATTTTCTTTGTGGTGTAGCCACGGTCAGCTTGCGCCAGCTGCTTAACAAAATATCTGACCATGGCATTTACGACAGGACAAAGAGGATGGCATGATGGTAATCTCGATCTTGTTCAACAAAAGTTGATTTTCGATTACGACTTAGTTGGTGGTAGATATGCTCCTGCTGGGATGAGACTATTTATCTGTGCTTGACCAAGGGATGTACCCGAGAAGAAAGGCCGGAGCCGACACAGCTCGCTAGCTTCATCTTTGATTAATTAGTCTAAGGTTGGCGTGGACGCGTTTGCTAATTGCCTACTACTGCGCTTGATACGCGGGGCTATAAACAAGACACACTATGCACTGCAACTTGAACGTATACGAATTTTCTTTGTTATGAATAATTTGTGAAAAATATAAAAATGTATGAAGAAATATATGCACTGTAACAATACCCCTATGCGTCGTGGAGCTTTTGTCCTCAAAAGCTTTTACAAAAACAGGAAAGGGTTACAAATACCAAGATGTACAATGAGAATCAAAGAGGTGCGCATGATAGCGTTTGACAAACGTATACACAATGATCAAAACAAGCAAAAATAGGATGGACATAGGGGTGGTATATTTAAAAACAATTATGGTACAAGAATTGAAATACAATTATTTGACCTGAAATACAAATACACATGGCAGTAGAAGAAATCAGGGACAATTTAAAAAAAGATGGACAAGTAAAAAAGGAACCTGAAAAAGGTGAAAAGATACATAGTATATACTTGAGACAGGTTGAATGATGAGGGAGTTTTTAGCGTTCCCTAACAATTTGCCCTTTAAAAGACCTTTAAAAGACCATTCCAGTTGGTTCCAAATTTTGAAAATACCCAAGGTGGACTGTCGAAATATATGAGGTAAACGGTTGTTGAAAGAGCGTGCGTAATTTGCGGGGAAGTTAGATCGGGGGGATGTTGAGTGAACGCTCGGTAAGTTTATTGGTGACATTGAAATCAGGAGTGGAGTGTGAGAGTGGGAAAGAGATATCATGAGAGATGAACATTTTCTTTGAACATAAGGCGGTTGGATGTGCAAGTAGGAAAGACACGGTGTGAGCGAAAAGAAATAGGCAATAGTGACACACTCAGGACCAGAAGTGAGTTCGAGGAGTAGACAGTTGTTATGTTGAGAATGTTGTGTGTAAAAGTCAAAGATGAGAATTGCTGGCAAAAGGACAGTCGGGACAGGAAGCACAGATATCAGCAGTAACGAAAGGATGGTGACTCCCCATGATGGACCTAAGACAAGACAAGAAACCAAGGGACAAGTCAGATGGGATGACCATAATGCAGGAAAGTTATGGCCACAACATTTCACAGCGTAGCACTTATAAAACACAAGGTAATATGATTACCTGTAAGGGTTGGTCAGAGCTCATCTACCTTGACCGAAGATGACATGTTGTCAGGAGGAATACCATGGAAGGTCATGACCTATGATTTTGCAAAATATCTGGGTTTCCGTTTTCGTCTGTGACCTGATCGGGTTCTGTAAGTGTGGTAATCACTTATCATTTCAGGACTAAGGTTAGAGGCTGGTTCCCAGGTACGCTGTGGGTAACCTTCCCATTCAATTAAGTAATGGGTTTCTCCTGATCGCTTTTTGGCTTTGTGAATGCGTTTTACCGCATACAGTTGATCATCTTGTTGGGAAGATGATGGGTGTGTGTTGTCTGGTTCATTATCTGGTTCTTGGCTTGACATGTGCTGTGTTGTGATAGGATTGTCTGGCTGTGAGGATGTTGACGGAGTTGGAGTAGCTGTTTGTGAGCCTTGTCTATGTGCATTGTCAGGCTGAGAGGATGTTGACTGAGTAGGTGTTGCCAGATGCTGGGTGGGTTGTGACACTTGCATACGAGGGGTGGGAGGTGTATAAGGCTTGAGTCTGTTGGCATGTATGAAGGATTTATGTTCCTTGTTTGTGCTTGCATTCATGAGTTTGTATGTGTGGTTTAGACCAATGCGAATGATTCTGTAAGGCCCTATCCATTTCTTTGATAGTTTGGGTGAAAGGCCAGTTTTGACTGTGGGATCAGTCATTAGAACCTGATCGCCAACAGAGTAGGAAGGTTCCTTGGCTCTGATATCCTGAAGACCCTTGCTTTTGTCCTGTGCAGCAGACATGTTGTCCTTTGCAAGTGATTTAGCCACACTGAGGTTTGTTAAGAGATCTTGCAGATGACCCTGTGCATCCTTGCCAAGAGTAGATTTGGGCAGTAAGGTAGTGTCAAAAGGGAGATTCATTTCCTTCCCAAACAGAAGGTAGTGTGGCGAATACCCAGTTGATTGACAAGGTACATTGCGCATGGCCATCATTACACATGGAATGAGTTTGGCCCAGTTGGTTTGATCAGGGTCAGCATATGTTCGGAGAGCCTGTTCTATTACACTATTCCTCCTCTCACACATGCCATTGGTTTGGGGGTGATAGGATGAAGTGTAATAGTGTTTGATATCCAAGAGTTCACAGAGGGCATTTACCAACTTGGGACGTGAACTGCCTGCCTCGGTCAGTAAGAAGTGTACGAGGAGCACCAAATCGTGAAAACACCTCATTAAACAGGATTGATGCAACCTCAGATGCTTCTTGAGTGCGCATTGGGAAACCT